AGCATGCTGACGTTTTGGGCATACTGTAAGCCAGCATGTACACTGTTTTTAAAATATAAATAAAATCTCTCCTACTATTACAGATATTATAACCTAACGACATATGTGTGAAGTTTCCGTCAACGTCTCGTCGTGAACGTTTCCGTGTCTTAGTTTGAAACTATTCTATATATACGACAGTAATTCGAAATTGAATAGTGCGATTTAGGCTTCGGTGCATTTCACTTGTGGTGCGACGACAGCGACGCCCCACCGATACATGACATACTCTGTACCATACTGTAATGTTTAATTAAAATGGAATGTATATACACTTAATTTTATCGATAAAACACCCTACATAATTTTGTGCAATTCCCACACCTTCCAAGATAGAGCAATTTTATTACTGACTTATTTCGATATCCAAATAGTATAACAACCATTACTATGGACCTAGGTCTCACTTAGGTGCATTAAATGTTATTTTTACGGTCATAGCACAGAAGATCTAAAAATATTCTACTAACACATAAAAATAAGGTATTTGTATGGTTACACCACACATTTTTATTTACTAAAGACGTTGCAACCTACTTTAGCCGGGCGTCGCGTGTATATAAATAAAAATGTGTGGTGTAACCATACATATTGGCCACCCGAAAAGCAAAGTGGTCCTTCGAGCCGGATATGAACCAGCGACCTATGGATCAGTACCTATATATATGTACCTATTTACCTATTTAATTGCAAGCTGACGATCGGCAGTACGTCAACAACCGTCCTTCTGAACACCATCTACTCTAAAGGAAAAGATCACCAAAGTTAAAAGTTTAATTAAAAATTAAAATAGTTAATAAAGTTAGAGTGGCAAATCTTTCCTTGAGTAGATAGTGTTCAGAAGGACGGTTGTTGACGTACTACCGATCGTCAGCTTGCAATTAAATAAGTAAATTTATATACACGCGACGCCCGGCTAAAGTAGGTTACAACGTTTACTAAATAAAAATGTGTGGTGTAACCATACATAATTTTTGTATTAAACTGTAAAATACAACATAATTTCCCATGCTTTTATTGCATTTCATGAAATTCTAAAAAAAAATATTAGGGATTAACACAAGTCTCATATATATATATATATATATATATATATATATATATATATATACAACCTATACGGCTCTTGGATATCTAGCCCTTCTGAGTATATCATTTGCTTCGGATTTTTTTCTTCACAATATGTTGATGTGCCACATTGTGAAGTTTTTGGGAGATTTTGGCGACAGCTCAACCCAACGGAAAATTGATGACGATAGTCACTCTAGTTCATAAAGGGCCTAAGCGGTCAAAATAACTTGAGGGTTATATCAACATGGAAGCACTTGTTTCGTCGTTTTCTCTCTCATAGTTTACTCTCGCAGACACTTAATTCATTAAATCGCATCACTTTTACGAATCAAAATCCACTTCAAACCATTATATGAGCGATGAAACAGGAGCAACAATCCGTCGACGGCCAAGTTCCCGCCAAAACTCGATATTGTTGTTAGTCTGAGTTATTTTACAGAACAATACAAATATAACAGTGTAATTTTAATATTCTCTCTCTCTCTCAGATTCTTCTGTCTTTCAAATTTCTTATGCTGACCCTCCAACTTAAAATTCATTAATTTTTTTTATTATTTTCAGGTAGCTTTAATCTAATTGTACGTCATCGCAGGGACACACAAATTCCACAATTAGTAATATTTAGTAAGTGCCTTATCTGAACATATAATTGTCATATGTTTTGTATAAAGTTAAGTAATTAGTGTACGTATGTACAAGAAATGTAGTCAATGTTTATGTTTAATAATAATTGTATTCAATTTATTTAATAACAGATATTTCGATATCACCAAGTCTAGCTTACCATTAATTTTATGCGGTAGAGGCCAGGCCTCTAACAAGTTCAAACTTGTGAGGAGCTTTCCGCTAAATTTAACTAAATATGTAACTGATAAAACTGTTACAATGACAAAATTATCTTGATCTAACCAAAAATGTACCGTGTAATGGCGGTGTAAAGAATGTCCACTACCTCATATTATCCCGAGGCGCGGGTGAGTTTTTCAAAAACTGACGAGATTAAAAAATGACGCGGTAGCGCGTGACATCATTTTTTACTTCGTCCCACTTACTGAATCTCATGTTATTTTTTTTTTCAAAATGTCAACGTAAAACAAATGGACCGTGTTGTGCAGAAATGATCCAAGACTCTTCAGATCTCTTTTTGCAGTTTATTTTAAAGATGTGGCAGGCATAGTGACGCACCACCGTAGGGCCCGTAAGTGCGATAGCGAAACAGATGGTGTCCTGTTTTTCAATTTTATTTTATTACATACTTAACTTCACCACTCAAATGGACCACTGATGCGATTTATTACTGGTAATCTAAAGTAAAAATGCAGTTCATGAGCTGATCTTAACTTGTTATCGTGAATATCTTCCAGAGGCTCTTAGCTAAAAGAAATTCCGATATAATAATATATAATAATCAAAGCTTGCAATAAAAATTGTTAACAAACTTTGGACCTAGGTCTCACTGAGGTACATTTAATGTTATTTTTGCAGCCATAGCAAAAAAAAATCTAAAAAATATTTACGTAACACACAAAAATAGGTATTTTTGTATTAAACTATAAATTACAACGTAATTTCACACTTTCTAAAACGGACTAAACTGTTCAAGTCGCTACATGGCAAAAGTATCACTTCAGATAACGACGAGCAACTTGAACTTATGATCTTCGTAATTTCTTCGGATGGCTTCAGCAACTCAAGGCAAAATGTTACGAAATTTAGTTGTGGAAATTTCAGCCAGTCTATTAAAAGCAAAATCCAGATCGACTTTGTTCTAAAAGGCGAGTCTTATACAGGGTTATTTTACAATAATCGACCAAATTTGCTGAGAAGATTTGAAATAAGTAATATAGGCAAATTGTGAAGAAAAATTTATTTTAAAAATTGCAAATATTCTATCCTTTTTATCTTATAAATTCAAAATACATGATAATGCATTACTTTAACAGATTGTTATTCCTAAATATCCAACACTTACTATTTTACTACGTACGTACACATTCGTGGAGGTTGATCGGTCGGCAAAAACGTGAATTGAATCGAACACAGTGGAACCCGCGTACGCGTAGTTGTTGCCCATAAATCACATTCCACTTGGGATAATTTCAACTAAAAGTAGAAGCCTTATTTACGTGTATTTTCAAAAACTGCAATAACGATATATCATTCTTTAGATATTTGAACTTAAGTTTAAAATTTGGCTACTCTTTGAAATATCAGCCTGTATATTACGACGGATGCCGTCTACTAGACATGTCCTGGACAACCTGGTGGTCTGGTAAATTAAGTTATTGCCTCAGTTCATATATTTTATTATAAAATCTTAAAAAACAACATAAACACGCCTATTATCCAGAGGGGTAATCAGAAGACTACGGACTATCATTTGGCACGACCCTGACACACCTCTCTCGCCTCCTTTACATCCATATACATACATTCATACATGCTCGTTGGTTAAGGGTTGCTAATCTGGCCCATTTTCAATATATTGTCAATTTGGTCGATAAACCTTAGTCTAGGGTGTACCTTCCCGACTCTGCTGTTCACATCTGCAATATAAATTTGCTTTGTCACTCCTTGTTCATACATAAACAAACCACCAAAGCATTCCTTTCTTAATCCTGGTCACATCATGTTTTAAAACACACTTTTCTCTTATCACACAATGTCTCACCCTGTCATTCAGATTAAGCCCTAGCATACTCCCATATATTATAAAATCTTAATCCTTAGAAAAATATTTTTTGGTTACAGCATTTTTAAAGAAGTTGTAATAAAAATAATCAAGTTTTCTCAACATATCCGTAATGAACTGTTCATCACATTCGATAAATATTACTTTTATAGATAAAAACTAATAAATTACAAAATCTTTTTGTTACATATGCCCTTGAATTTGACAGTAATAAATATTAGTTTTTTTTTTAAAGTAAGTTGTCCATTGTCATCAAATTGTAGGTACTGTAAGAGGACTAATTTCTTGGTTTCTGGAAGCATAAGGACATTTTACTTCAATTATTGTTTCTGATCCTAGTAAGCCATCTGTTGATGCTCCTAGATAAGTTCGTTCCTGAGACAAAAACAATCCACACTTTTCAACAACCACCCCATAAATCTCCATATATTTTTAATGGCTGCTTTTTCATTAATCATCCCATGTGCCATCGCTCTTGTTTGTACTAGATTTTTATTTAATATTTGGTTACAATATTTTACTAAATTTTCACTTTTCAAATGGCACACAGTGTGAAATATACTTGATGTAATGCGGGTTTGTCGATACTCATGCCACTTTGGATTGGAACTTGTTCCTCTAGTCTCCATTTCGATTTCCACTAATCTTTCTTCAGTTAAATTTAGTAAATGAATGGATTCTAAAAATATCCTATGCACTTTTTTCCATATATTTATGATCTAAATATATTGCTCGTTGGTTAGCTGCTGGAAATAATTGTTTTAAGGACATCGATGAGTGTGGATAATTTAAAATCAGGGACTGAAACCTGCATTGGAAAGCCTTTTTTATCAAAATAAGGGTTTTGTTTTAAATATGGAGAGTAAACAATGTTATGTATATCCCTTTTGGATGGCAATCTAGAGGCTCGCAATGGTGTGGCATAGTATTTTCTTGTTGGCTTATGAAACGTTTGAAGTTGTGATGTCGAAACTTCATGTAGCAGTATGATTTTTCCTTAACAATATTTTCAGCAGCAAGAAGTACCACAGCCACATGTTTACAATGGGCTTCTTTGCCTTCTCCTGCTGCACATTCACATGTCGCTTCTTCAGGCATTCCATCATTATTTTATTTGATGTCTACCTCATAATGTAGTTGTTTCATAGATGCCTTGCAAAAACCTGGAAGAAGTATTTATATGTTTATTTTTGATACATCAACCTTTATTAACTGGTGAAAACCTACCTTTCAAGTATGTTTCTTGGGCAAATGTTGTTGATCGTAAAATAAGAAGGTATCTCGATTCATACAACTTTACAGCATCACTGATATTTCTATTGAATCTGAAATAAAAGTATTATGTTAAATATCAAGAGAAAGTATATAAACACAATTTAATAAACTTAGTGGACAAATAATCTTTAATATTTACATAAAACGTTAGAAACAATTATTACCTACCTATCAAAATAACTTTGAATATGTTTTTTGGTAATCTTTGGCAATATCGTGGAGCTATTAACGTCCTGGTAAAGTTCAACAGCAGGCACATCAATTGCTTGACTTTGAGAAGCTAGAGGGCTTTGTTGATTATACAAACATAAGACATATGATTCTGACCTAAGAGCAAAAAATACCATTTATCATTACAGTAATGTTCTTTGATTATTCGTAAATTTTCCTAACATTAATCAAGAAAATTTCTCAGGCATTTCTTTTGGTAAATTGTCAATCTCTGTGGAATTCAGAGCCAAATTCTCTTTCAATTTGTTGTCTGCCTGTTCTTGACGAAAGATAAACACCGCAATGGTTAAAAAAAACACAATATGAAATTCACAATAAAAAGTGCACAGTATAAAATGTATTAAAGAATGTAGTTCATACCTCGTTTCGTTCATTTGATTTGTAATTTTTAACATTTTTTAATGCATTATTCATTATAATGTCCGTCCGAATTTTTTTATCTTTTTAAGTAACTTTTCTTTAAAAACTTGCTGGCTCCGTATTTGTGTAGTGACACATTAACCAATGCAACTTCCTTTTAATTTAGAAATAAATAAATAAATGGCATAATAATCAATGAGTCACAAACAATAATACTATGATAAATAAAAAAACCACTTTATTTCTAATAAGTCAAATTTAGTTCCAAAACATTCATCGTTATTTATTATTAACACGACACAAACTTAAATCCATCATTGGAATTCTATGTGTCTTTAATAATAAAAAATCGGAAGAAAACAATCGTAAGGCTAAATTGGTCGTTTCCATACTAAAAATCGAAAGAGAACTTACCAATAGTTTCGGAATGAAAACGACGTAATAGGCTTTGGGTCACTATCTGGCTGTCTGCGCGACGTCCTGCACTTAGTCATGCGAACACAACACTGACTACGTTGTTTCCCCCCCTACGAGCACTTAACCCTATAGAGAAGTAATACATGCGAATTTAAAAGAAAACAATTTTGTCAACTAGTTGCGGTGCGGGGGGAGTTGTGATCGCTGCGAAGTACTCCGAACTATTCCGAAGAGATTCCGAACACGGTCGCTAGGGCCTGCATTGTAATGAATTTATGCTTTCTATCGATATTGATAAATTTTTTCGCTTTTTTAATACATACTTTCAGTATCAATAACTAGCAATTTTGACTGTACTTCAATTTTCTTGTGCATAAGTATAAATGCAATTTTAAATGTACTAATTTTCAAGCAGTATACCTTTCAGGTAAAATATAAATGCCAATTTCTTGAGAAAAATTGAAGATTTAAATGTTAAAGGAGAGTTTAAAATAAACTTTTACGTGATTTTCGTGAGTCACTTTAACATAAAATTACTTTAACATGCAAGCCGAAAATTAAAACATTTAGTGCGTTATAGAACCAAGCTGCAGTTATCTTAGTAGTATAGTTGAACTATGAATGGGTCGGCTCGACCGGGGAAGGGCCACGCTCTCACAGAATACCAGCATAAAACGCCGCTTCTTGTTGGTTATCAAAAAACAATCCTCAGTGAAATGTTTTGAGCACATGACGCTATATTTTGATGAAAACCAATTTTACCTCTTTTTGTAACGGTTATCCATTTGTTTTTCATATTACCATCTTTTGGAAACCTATAGGGAAAAAATTGTACAGTTTAAATAAAATATCATTGTTATCGTACTTATCCAAAGCTCATACACGAAAAGAATAATTATAATTAATATTATAAAGTGTTACTACGAGTAATAAATAATAATCTACTACTCTTAGTAATACTTTAATCCAAAACAACGATATCTAAATACAATAATCATTTTGTGGATAATTATCGATAATACAAAGTAAATATACAGCACTGCACTAGTCATTAGCGTCACGAGGCTAATTATGATAAGGAGAGACAGACATACATGTTTGCAGTAAATGCAAAAAGGACGGGGAGTAACGCGTGGCGGACCCGTCCAGTTTGACTTGACCCTTGTTACGTAATAAAAATTTTGAAAATATTTTGGTAAAATAAAAAAATGTACTTACCGATGAAAAGTAATATTGTTTGTTGTTACACTACATGTTTTACTGTTGTTTCCGCACCATTTAACGGCACAACAAGACATGATGCCGTAAATTGATTTTAATTTATATTTTCAATGTAAGCCGTCTCTTCGGTTCTAATAGTTGGTCGTAACTGGCGGGAAACAAAAGTGTTCCGAAATATATCAGTGACTAGTCACTGACGAGTTGACAGGTTCGGGTCGCCTTGTATTACGTCTCTATAGGGTTAAGTGCTCGTAGTTTCCCCCCAACTCAGGCCCGCATGTCGCCGCGTAAGAAAGAGACCGATATAACAGTTTTGTCCTGTTCCCGCTCTAATATGGCTTTGTTTTAACTATTGTTAGATTGAGGATTTCGTTTTGAGTCATTATATGACGATAACTTAATTTTCGTTTTTTTTTTTTGAATTGTGTCGTTTTCTTCCTAAAGGTGCGAAATAATTAACACGTTCCAATCAAAACTAGCTCCAAATATTTAACTTTTATATAAGTGTACAGTTTTATAATATTTTAGTAGATACAATCCTACCTCTCAACAAGATCTGCTTTCTTTCCAGTTATCTTCGCTCCTCGTTTTTTTAGATCGTCTTTCAATTCTTTAAGCTTCCAGGTACAATACATCTTAAAATTATCGTTATCGATGGTTAACCAGTTTCAATACAAAGAAAAGCAAAATCTCTTTATGTAAAGTAATCTGCAACAATTTAACAGCAGCCATGGCGCCGCTGGTGCCCTCTACGATTAGCTTTGCATGTGGATCCCCATAACGGAACATCAACAGATAACTTGGTTTTTGTATTAGAAAAAGTTTCATCATCTACAATGTTTTATCTTAAAATAACACAGAGCACAGTTAAACAAATCACACATTTTTTTCAACAACACTGTCTTAAACCACATATCATATTATAAAATATATAGTAATTGAATTAAAACATACCTTTGCGACCAATAAGTGATATTTCGTGATGTCACGTCTTCGCTGCGTGCGTAGTGACCAGCGTTTCCACTATCAGGTTTTAATTTTGCCCTACATTTTTTGGAAAATTTGCCACAATACCTCAAATTAGTCCCCAAAAATCCTTAATTTAGGGTGTAATATTTAAAGATTTAGAAATGAAACAAAAACTTTATTTTTGATTTCAATAAAGCGATTGTCTACGACCATATTATATCGTCGGCCTAATTCTTTAACCTGCTAAGTCTATATTTTCAATTTTCATAGTTTAGGACGAAGAAAAAACTGAATAATATCTTTATTAATTTAGTAATCAAAATTCTAAAAATGACGTTGGCGTCTATAATTTTTCTTGATATTTTTAAAATATAATTAGTAGCATTACTTATACACATTATGAAATTCAGGAAAATAATTATTTAGCAGTTTTTCGAGGTGAAGTTTCCATTTCCTTGAGGACTTAGCAGTTTTTGACTTAAATTTAATATTGTATATAAACAGGGTTATATTATCTAAGATAGACTCTTTTTATAAACAACCTGTAAGTTTTAATACACGTTATTAAGTGTTTTGTTTTGTGGTATTACGAGTTATTCAATGATTTTATTATTATTAATGACAGCCATTTAATATTGTTTTACTACAGATATCACAATCAATTATTATTAACAATTATATAAAGCAGAAACAAATTTTCGAAATCTTAAATTAACAATATTTAGAAATCAATTTGAAACTTTGGTAAAATGTTAAGTTGTAATTAAACTTAAATTCTACTTATTGGTTACTATTCTACTCATGAGGAAAGTCATCATAATATTTATGACAGTCAGAAGGAAGGGTCTTTTTTATTTGTTGCAAGTCTACAAATTTTCATGCAGTAATTTTACGTCGGTTCTGGTGAAATTGAGATAGTTCAGTAATCTTGCAAGAATTGCAAAGATCGTCTTTGTGATAAACTTTGTGTATCATTTTTGCGATTGGGACATTTACATCTCGATCACTGATATGTTCCGAAACACTGATATAAATATTTCGTTTGGCTCATTTGGATCATCGACTCAAAAGATATAAATTACAGAATGTTATGAATACATTGCGTTGCGGGCGTTTATTACTGACTGAGTCAGTGAAATGTTATGTGGCAATAATACTGAATGAAATAAGTGCTTAGGTTAATTATTGTGTACTGTAGTAAGATTATATATAAAATCGATTCTCCTTCGTACTTTATCCAGGCTAAGGACTGGCGGCTAGCCCTATAATTTGTGGCGTATTTAAAAATCGATTATATTTACAGTGATTTTGTTGATTATATTTACAGTTAGTTTTTATGGTTTTACTTAAAATTGTAATTTAAAAATAGCATTTTTGAAACTTTATCATTTTTTAGCATTGTTCGACATGTATTCAAAATATGGCCTGCTTTTAAAAAGACGCGTTCGCATGAAATAGATGTTGCAGTAATGCAAAATCTCTTTTTTACATATTGGTGCAGAACAGGATATATTCCTTTCCTGCTTTCCCACCAAATTAATGGATCTTGATTTCTAGGCAGCAATTCATTATTGAAATATTTATCTAGCTCTCTTATTCCTGCTGCCATTTGATTTCGCGGTCTGAAATGCCGACTCAGTTCAGCATCAAAATCATTCCATAGCGATGCTGATGTTGCAGTCACAGGTTGAGTTGCGGTTTCAGCCGTAGTTGCAGATGCTGACTCCGTGGTATTACCACGAACCGTCTCAGTAGCTGTATTTGCTAAACATTGGGTGCGTTTGGCAGAAAAAAGCGCTAGCAAGCGCTTACAAGCGCTAAAATAGTTTTCGGCAAGGACACGATTGCTCCTTCAGTAGCGCTGACACAATCCGCCATTTTGCTTATTTAATTTGTTTGTTTTGAAGTAGAGTTTATAAGTTGTTTTGTGCAATATTAGTTTTAAGTAATATAATGACATGAATAGACTTTATAGATGTTTTTAAAAAATCATGATTGGAAGTTTTTAATATGAATACTTTACAAACATATATTTAAATTAGGTTAGATTCCCCGGTTAAAACTAACATCGTGTCCTGGAGGAAAATAGCTACTTACGATTTGACAGCGCTTACCGCTTACGATCGCCATTTTGCTTACAAGCGATTGCTAGCGCTTTTTTCTGCCAAACGCACCCATTGTCTTAAGGTCGTTACAGCTATATTAAATATTTCTTGTGAATGAAACGCGAAACCTTTGAAGCGCGGGTCCAAAATTGTTGCTTCCGCGTACAGAGGGTTGGATTCAATATTTTGGAATCTATCCGAACACTGCTGCTTCAGAGTGTCCAATAATAATACTATTTGTGCAGGTAATCCAGTATCCTCATTAATATGCTTATTCACGTGTTTAACCATAATTTTTGTCAACACAGTTACTTTACTTCTTCTTCTAAAGATGTATGTCCTGTATGTCCTGTATAACCTGTTTTTCTGAACTCATCTCTACCGTGACGTTGTAAAATATTTCCAATATTTTAATCGCGAGGTGAACGATTTTCCAGTCTTCCGGTGTTAACATTTCCAGATCTGTGCCGAGTATTGCCGCAGTAGAAATTATGGCCTCTTTTAATGTAAGAAATCGACTTAACATGTCGTGTGTCGAGTTCCATCGTGTGACTATTGTTTGTTAGTATTTTTAATATCTTTTAAACCCGATTGTACAACCAAATTTATAGAATGAGCAAAACATCCGATATGTTTCCAGCCACCCATTCTAATGGCAGCCGAGATATTGGCGGCATTGTCACTCACTACAGCAACGACTTTGTTTTGTATCTTCCATTTGACAATTTTTGTTTGCAAAAATTGGCACAGATTTTCCGCCGTGTGTCTGTCAGAGAATGAAAAACAATCTAAAATATATGATATGACCTCATAATATTGTCTAAATAATGGGCGGTGATAGAAACAAAACTGACATTATTTATCGACGTCCAGTATACCGATGTACCTAGTTAGGCATACAGCGCATGCGGAGTCTATGTTAACCTGAACTTTTTCTAAACATTTTTGATACATTTTTGGCAAAAGACTGTTTGATACAGTTTTTCTAGTTGATAAACTGTACCAGGAATAATCATGACGAACAATTTACATAACCAGGAATAATCGTGGCGAACAATTCTTTGATTTCTGGTTACTCTATGAGCGGAAATGGGTGATAATTTTTGAGAATTATTTTAATAATTTGTTTGTCGATCTCATTTATTTTTTTTAACAGGCACGGGCTTGTGAATAAATTATGCCATAGTGGATTGTTTTGGTTGTCCATGAGAAGTTAACAGTAAGGAGATATGTGATGTTGCAGCTACTTCATTTTGAGATAGAGATGTAAATGATGACATAGACGGTACTGGGTCTGGTATTGATGTTGATGACTGCTGTTGAATTGAATTCTGTTGTCTGCTTAATTGTATTTGAATTGTAGGATGTTTCAGTTTCATGTGCCTGCTCAAATTACCGATGGATTTATTGGGTATACTCAAAATTTGTGCACAGTAACCACATTTTGCTTTGTTGTCCGTGAGCTCACTAAAATGGTTCCGCAATGCACTTCTCTTTCTTGTTGGAGGCTTTTTAATAATATATAAGTAAGAAAATAAATATCTTAGATAATGTATGTGTTTAATACCTTTACCAAAGATGTTTTATAGGTACAGATACCGTGTTGCTAACACATCGCACCGTTCACAGTGACGCCAGTCTTTGATTCATGTTTGCGTGAGTACCACGTGACGCGCATATCTTACGTACCATGCCTGCATTAGTGTGCGTGACTTCGGTAATAATAGTGCGAATCGATTGCCCAAAAATTTGGGAGATTTTATATTTCATTCATAATGACATACCTGAGTGTAAAATATGTGTTCGAGGCGTGTGCATTTGTGTACGTATGTGAATGGGGATATACACACACAAGGGATATGGGTGGTTATGTGTGTTTTATGTAGGTCTGTACGAAAATCGCACTAAAATAGTGAAAATAAGTAATAAAAATTAGATATAATTAATGTAACAATTAAAAATAAATCAAAAATCACATTAGATATTTATGTATCTAACATATATTGAACTAATCTATTATTATTGAATATATATAGAGTAATACACTTTCGTATCTTAAAACCCAAAATATTGACGCTTAGACATTAATTATTTTTAAACTTAAGTAAAATGACAAAAAATTTTTAATCTTAAGTAAAATGACAAAAATTTTTAATCATAAGTAAAATACAAAAGTAAGTTTGGTTAAGCGTAAATTTCGGCCAAGAGATAGCAAATGTTTATTTTTTTTTAAATTTCATATATCGATACAGTTTCATGACTAGATCAAATCATTGCGTAAAATCAATTAAATCCCGCCACTGGAAGACGATAAAAGATTGTGTGTTTAAAGGCTACATTTTGTACTGTAAAACCTGTAAATAAATAAAAAAATATATAAAATCAATGTTGATTGTGTATAAGTGCCCTTGACATGAAAGTGAAGTGAACATTATATTATAATTATATAATAAACAATAATATAACATAATTATATAACAAATAATAATATAACATAATTATTATAATAATATAATTTAATCACACAACTAAAGCCCTCATTAGTAATGTAACGGTAAAAGAATTTTCAAAATCAGTCAAGTAATTTTTGAGATAAACCAAATAAAACATATTCATAGAAAGTAGTGCCATCTATAATAAAATACATCCTACAATAGACATCTTTAATTATACATAATATTCTAGTGGTAAAAGATTTTTCAAAATCGGTCAAGAACTGTACGAGTTTAGCTAAAAACATATTCGATGATGGTAGTGCCCTCTATATTAAAATACATCCTACATTTCAAAGTCATAATAGCATTCTAATGGTGAAATATTTTTTTAAATAGGTCATGTAGTTTTTGAGCACCATTCCAAAAAGCGATTCAGCTTAGCCAACCGCACACACAGTAAAATCATAACCATCCTTTTTCGTTTGTAGTCGGATAAACAACCGGTTCACAACGGTTGCGTATCGGCTGCTTTGGATAAATATCCGTTGTCAACAGTTGCTTTACATCTATTAATGACATTAAAATAGGGAAAAACATTTCATACAGTAGGCAACACTCGAATATTATTGCGCAGTATTATTACTTGTATTGACATTCAGCTTCGTATTATTTTATCAAGAAATACACCAGAAAATTGTATATTTACTTATAAAAAGTGATGTTCTTATCTTTTTCTTTTTTCCAAGAGTAATTTTTACATGATTTCACAGCACAAACATTCATTTTCCGAAATTAAAAACACTGGTGCGTGATGTATGTTCGCAGTGAACGTCGCTGGCGTAATGGCGGAACGATCGAACGAATACGCCAATATTGGCGCCTTTTAAATGGAAGCGTTTTAGGCGCGCGTACACGGTATCTGTACCTATAAAACATCTTTGACCTTTACCTTGGAAATTCAGTTACTACAAAGGACAAACACGTAGAATGTTTATATATAAATACACATATTATTCACTCATTCACTGAAAGTCCGCGACAAAGTCAATAAAAACTAGCAAACTAAACCTATTTACACAAAATAACAATGTATGTCTATTTACACATAATTCTCTGGTAAAGTCACATAACCATAACTTTATTATGAAAAGGAAGAAAGTAGGTTACAATAATCAACTACGCAAAGAAATCTTAAACAAAACCGAGTATGATTTTGTAAACAGGCGCGAACGAACATAACAAACAATTTGACAAATGCCATATCAATGTAAAATGATAACTTGTTAAATGCAAACCTTACATACAAAAACTACCGTATAGTATTTGATACGTAAGCTCCTTAGTGGTCATTTTTACGTGCATGAATAACGATAGCGAAAATCCGTACGAGTTGAGTGATACAGTTCTCTTTTGTTATCTCTTTCTGACTTGCATAGATTGTAATTATTTATTTCAATTAAAATTAAAATAACAGGTAGACTTATACCTCTTAAAAAATAACAAAACATATTCTTCTACATTTTCTTCTACAACTTTTTAACCACTCTTCTTAACTTTTCTTTACAAATGATTAACAATTTTACTTTATTGCACTGTTTGTTAACCTGTATAATTATTTGGTATAAAATATCTTACATCAAAATGGAATACTGACAAGTATTACTTAAACATATTATATCAAAATAACAAAAATACAATATCAGTCATTATAAAATCTTAATGAAGTAAAGTATCGTAAAAACTATGACAGTCAGGCGGAATAACTGACTTTAGTTCTTGCAGATGTTTCCATTTGAATTCATTTATTTTTTGATGATTATTATAAAGCTTAGTCCTTGGGCCCGGTCTTGTCCTATTATTTTTGGCTCTTCTGGGCAAATTTTTATAGTCATCCTGAAAACTTAACTTGTAGTTAATAATGCCGTTAGGGTTATATTCCAAAGCTCTCAAATCTGTGACTGTAGGATCGTTGGCAACTCGGCCAGGCCGGATGGACTCGTACAAAAAATCAGCTTTGTTTGAGTAGTCAAAAAAAAGTCGTATGATAAAAAGTTGGAAATAGTGGCATACTGGGAAGGTAAGTATATCTCCTTATTTTCAAGCCTGCATTCAATTGCAATGTGGCTGGAGTCACACTCCATTTGGGTATGACCTTTTTCAAGGAATTTCTGTGTTATTACGACATTATATTCCATGGCTAAATCTAAAAGAGCATTCGCTAAAACAACGTTTCTGTTTTGGGATGTACATCCATCAAAACAACTCAGGCAATCTATGACGCATGATGCAAAAACAGAAGCCACCAATCCTGCATTATGCTCGTCAAACCAGTAACAATGGACATCTTTTGTGGCTAGGTTAAACATTATGGAATTGTGCACACAGAGCTTAGTTTTATAGTACAATGCACTAGCCTGCAACATCGGACACAACTTTACTGATTGGAGGTCATGCGTAAATACGTGTGCTTCTCCTGCTAATGCTCGGTCCTTGTCTTTCTTTTTCTCCTCTCTAGCTGCTTCTTTTCGATTAGTGTGATTGTGATAGATGTCTTCGCCAATATTACCTGCTTTGAACGCACAGCATGTGTCACATTGATCCTTTTTTGGCTGGAATAAGCTTAAATTATTTTATTTAAAATTTTTATCAAAAGACCATCGGCTGACGGGTTCTTTATTTTCTGATTTACACTTCTCGCAATAAATTTTGAAAAGATGATTCTTGTTTTCGATGATAGGCTCTAAATATTCTCTATAAGAGGTAGCTCTACAATAGTGAGAAGGCATCTTTGGCAAACTGTTTAGGAAATCTTTAAGAAAAGCTGCCTCATCTTTCTTTATGGGTCCTTCTAAAACCTTACGAGTCAGTTCGGGTTTCTTTGCCATTCCAAGCTCAGACATCGATAGCCAATACCTGACTGTCCATTCTTTGATACCGAACGTATTCAGAAAAGTATGCTTGCAGACTTGAGCACGTCCATTTGAAGTTTCTAAAAAATACTCTTTGGTCTCACCACGCCTAGATGATGATGATTTACATTTGACCTGCTTTTTGGGCATACCTGAACATTTGATACAACGTATTGTTTACGCTGTTCCCACGTCATATTATTCCAGTAATTGGAGAAAAGGGTGTGTTCCTCTTCTGGAATTGTATCACAAGCACGAAGCTTTGATTTTTTACAAAACTCGGAAGTACATCGAGGGCCAATTATTCGGGCTGGCCTAATAGTGTCATGTAATACCCTAAACTTTGGACCATTGCTATCTCGCCTATACCCTAAATATTCTTTTCCCTCCATTCTAAGTTTCTTGTTATTATTTTTAGTCCAGTTTTTGTTCACTGAACATCCCTTTGAACATCTTTTTCGACCAGAATTAAGATCACCATATTGTTCGACCTCGTCATTCAAAGGCAAGGGACTCGCCATCGGTACTGCAAGGTCTGTTGATTCTTCCATTAATGTAGGGTCTGTTACACTTGTTTGCGCAAAATTTATATCAATAGGTTCTTCATTCGACGGTAACATAGGCGAGTGAGCTGTAGTTTCTACCATCATTACATTGTTATGGAATTCGGAAAGTTCATGTACACTCACCTCGCTGCTTACTGAACTAAAACTTCAAATTTCTACTTACAGAACTGTAAATATACAGTTCTGTAAGTAGAAATTTAGAGGAGTACCGGAGTACCTTCAGCTTTTTTAATTATTGTCTTTGGTCCGATCTACGCAGAACTCTACACTACACTACTCCGGGTGAACTTTGACATCGGGACGTCAGTCACCTCAGTCCCCCGTGACCATGGGTGCTGGAAAGCACCCGAAACGTCGGGTATTAAAAATAAAATAAATAAAACGCGATAAAATCCGTAAAAGTAGTTTTAATCAATGTAGATTAACAGTTTTTTGTTCACAGTTTTAGTCGACCTCCAAATCTACAGTTTTTTTTATAATGCCATCTATTTTATTCGCCGCGTAACCCGTAGAACTCGGTTTTAGCAACGTCTACGGTACGGTTTGCCTAATTAATTGCACAGGTGGCGTTAGTGGATAAACTGTTTCGACCGATGCGTTTAGTCGACTGTTTTGACATTACTGGGATTTCCCTTGACTTACCCGAAGTTAGATATTTTGTTTTTCTGAGTGTTTTTTTACATCGTGTTGTGAATTTGACCGATTACTGCTGAAGTTTTGTGTGATTATCGAAGGTTAATAAAAAAAGTCAGGACAATGGTTAGCAGTAGCAGTGATAGTGAGTCAGATTTAGATAAAACGCCACCAAAACAGAAGAAAGTAAACAATTTAAAGGGCGGCTCGCGAAAAGTAAAAAGGTGACACATATTTTTACTGTTTAGCATGCGACTGTGATCGAAAATGTGGAATTCAGGAAAAATGTGGAACTGTAAAAAATTATAAAATCAGCCTAAACTTACATCTTTGTTAGCATCAACATCAAAATTGCAACAACCTCAGCAGACGGCAAAGGCTGGTGAAATAAAACTGGCTTGTTTTGTTGCAGAACATAATATTGCACTTAATGTTGCCTCCCATCTGACAAAATTAGTTAAATCAGTGCGCCCAGACTCGAAAATTTCTGAAAGTTTGTCTATGAGCCGAACAAAAGCTCGAGCTATCGTTGTAAATGTGACAGGAAAAACAGCTGAAGAAAACTTGATGCAAAACTTAAAAGAAAATTATTAGATGAGAGTACATAATTGGTAGATGAGAGTACCGATAAGTCGGCAATTAAGCATTTAGCTTTAATAGCTAGGGTAGTCAACACAAATTACAAAGTAGAAGATAAGTTTCTGACTTTGATACCAATCGACGAAGGTTCAGCTAAAGTTTTGTATGATAAAACTATCGAATATTTCAACGAGAAAGGAATCCCGTACAAAGAAAATATGTTAGGATTTGCGTCCGATGGCGCCAATGTAATGTTTGGATCAAATAACTCGATGGTTACTCATTTGAAAAACGATATACCCCACCCCATCGTACGCATGTCAAAAATTACCGAGGGGCCTTGAAGATTTTTGCCGTAAAGTTTTTAATCACATTCGAAATTCACCTAAAAGCGTTGGGGATTACAAAACCTTTCAGGCATTTGCAAATATAAAACCTCATAAAATACTGCACCCAGCCCAAACCAGTTGGCTATCTTTGAACGACGTTGTGGACAGAATGTTAGAGCAACTTCCAGCTATCAAGTTGTGTTTTCAGTCAGCTATTTTCACAGATCGTCTTCTTTCTGCTTAAGGAATTTTAACGAAATCTATGGAACTGACAACCGAGTTATACTTGGAATTTCTTCGATTTGCGTTACCAATATTCACAGATTTGAATAAAGAAATGCAGGCAGAAAAAACAAAGCTGTACTTATTATATGATCAGATTTACACAGCTTATTTAACAATTTTAGAATGCTTTATACAGCCGGTATATTTAGAATTAACAGAAGATGAAAAAAACAATACCCAAGACATTTCGAATGCGAGAGAAAAGAAAGTACTAAGTGTTGATGTAAATGACGTGCAAACCCATGTGTCGTTATTTGAAATATATGTAGGCGGAATGGTACCTAATTTAATCCGATTGAAAAAGGAAACTCGAGAGTTGGACGAGGACCAACTTCAAAATTTTTACACAAAATGTAAAGACTTTTATGTTGAAGTAATAGTACAAATCAAACAAAGATTCCCATTTGACGACAAAGAACGTCAAGCTCTGAAATGTTTACAGATGTTGAACCCACAAACAATTTTAAATCACGATTTTAGCAAGAAACAAATAACTTCAATTTCTGAAATCTTGTATTATTTTCCAAATATTTGTCCGGAAGACGTAACAGAATTGGATAGAGAATGGAGAACTCTTTGCAACACCAACTTGAATTTGAACGAACCTGAGACGCTAAATGTAGAAGAATTTTGGTAACATGTCTCCAAATTGAAGAAGGGCGATGGATCTGCAAGATTTCCCCTGCTTAATTGTAAATTGTTTATAATTAAGCAGGGGAAATTGTCGGGTATTAAAAATAAAATAAATAAAACGCGATAAAATCCGTAAAAGTAGTTTTAATCAATGTACAGTGTTCGCGTAAATATAAGAAATCATTATGTTAATCTACAGTTAAAACTGTAGAGTTGGATACGCTGGCTGTGTATTTGTTTTCAAAATAAAACGCTCTCATTGGTTGAAATCCCTGATTTTGATTGGTCTAGAGATGCGTCTTTCGATAGTCTATCGAATGACATGCAAAAGTCAAATTGGCATTTTTTGGACTTCCGCGGTGTTAGAACTTATGCGACGACAGAGTGAAGTAATGTTTCAGATCCAAATGATGCATTTGAAACGTTGTTACTGTACTAACTCGCTTCGCGAGCGACGCGTCGCGTGAGAAGAGCACAGAGCGAAGTAATGTTTCAGATCCAAATGATGCATTTGAACCGTTGTTACTGTATAGTATCCGACACGAGTCGTGAGCACAGATAAACTGTGGTGGGAGGTAGGTACACTGTCGGGCAAAAATATTGGGTACCTTTATTATTTCAATTTGTAATTGAATATTTTCGCCGACTTTTATGAAAATGTTTACTTGAACACATCAACTTTTCTTTGATACAGTAATGTTGCAGATATTCGTGTCCGTTACTTTATTATCTACTATAAAGTATTTAATGTATACCTGGTGGTTAGAATTGAATATTTTATTAAGAAGAAGGAAGAGGTGATATGCCTTCCATAAAATCATGTGTTTGCGGTGCGCCGTACAGTAGCTACTGAGACATTAGTCGCCTCAGCAGTCTGTTTATATACGTCTGTTAGCTCCTCTACACCTCCTCACGATGGGCTAGCGTTGGACCAGCGCGATGGCCATGCGATGGCTGCATCGCAACTACACGTTGGCGACATTCAGTTGTGATCGAAACGTTTATCGAGATGGACGTGGAAGCATAAGCCGCTGCGGCAATTTATCTATACAACACGTACCGTTATTTTCTTAATGTGCACAAGAATAGAGTTATTAAAAAGAAATGGCGTAGAAGAAGATGGTGGATGTTATCTATACATCGCAATAGAACTAAGTATGTCCTAAATCAATTAAGTTTTCTTTAAACAAAAATAATTAAATACTTTAATAAATAATTATTAAAAATAAAAAAATAATTTAGTATATGTTCTGATTTTAGTAGTTAGTAGTTCTATGATTAAAACTAAAACTTTTTCAGGCAAACTATGGATAATTAGCTGGCTGAACTTCTTGCAGAACCATCAGGTGAATTCGATAACTTCGTGCGTATGTCAAACAGTGATTTTGAGATTTTAATACAGAAAATATCGCCAATAGTAGCAAAACAAGACACCGATTGGCAGGAATCAGTTCCTGTGAAAATTCGTCTCGCAATAACCCTAAGATACTTAGCTACAGGCGACAACTATAGAAGCTTGCACTACCTATTTAAAGTTTCAAGCAAACTTATATCAAAAATTGTTCCTGAAGTATGTCTTGCACTCAACGAAACTTTAAAAGAATTTGTGAAGGTAATAAAATAATACTATTTATTTTAGTTTAATCATATTTAATGTAGAAAATTAGGTACTTATTTATTTCTTTCTTGTGAGTCATCAATATTTGAATTAATGTAAGCTTTGAATAAAACTAAATTTACGGATTTTATCGCGTTTATTTCACTACTTTTACTTATTTTTAATTCCCGACGTTTCGGGTGCTTTACAGCAACCATGGTCACGGGGGACTGAGGTGACTGACGTCCCGATGTCAAAGTTAACCCGGAGTAGTGTAGTGTAGAGTTCTGCGTAGATCGGACCAAAGACAATAATTAAAGAAGAAACGTCGGGAATTAAAAATAAGTAAAAGTAGTGAAATAAACGCGATAAAATCTGTAAATTTAGTTTTATTCAATGTGTAGTGTTTGCGTACATTTAAGAAATGATAATGTAAGCTTGTTGCTCTGGTATACTTAATAGGACAGGACAGGAAACTCTTCTTCAGGAGTGACATTACCGTTGGGGTAGAAATAAAGTGGCGAATACGCAGTAGTAAGGTTAGTTGGAGGCCGGTCGGTATCATTGGCAGTTGTGGACGTAGGACGAGGAATATATGTTTGAGAAGCAGGGGAAGTAGAGGTGCGGGTGCAGCCACTGACAGGGCGTTTGGTGGATAATATGATTTGGGATGGAGACTGAACGACATAGTGACAGGCCCTTTGTTTACTTAAATGACGTTTGACATTTTTTCAAAAGTATGCCATCTATTTCGTACATTACTTGTTTTTCTATATCTGTAAACTATCTTAATTTTTTTTGCGAGTAGTTTACCATATAAATCACAATCGTCTTCTGAATCTTTTGTCTGTTGTTTATAAAGTACACTATTTAAAGTTGAAAAAGCTTTTTTCATTTCTTTATTAGTTTCCTCTAATTCTCGTGGATTTCTACAACGACGGCGTTGAATAGGAATTTTTATGTTGGAATTTTCTGTTTCCGTATTTGGATCAGAATTTTCGCATATACCTTGGGTCATGGAGCCTTCATCTGCTGACGATGCCGTAGCCTAAAAAAAATAAAACATTTTATTATTTATTAAATAGGTACTTTTGAGTTTTTTTACCATCAGCCAACAAAAAAAAAACCGGCGTGTTATCTTATGTTAATTTTATTTACATATCTCCACAACAACAGAAGAATGGCTATCCAAAGCTAGAAGATTCAAGTTCCCTCATTGTCTCGGTGCTATAGATGGCATAGCATGTGACAATACTACCACCCCCTCATAGCGGAACTGAATATTATAATTATAAACATACTCATTGTCCTCCTAGCTCTAGTAGATCATGATTACTGTTTTATTTTTGCTGAAATAGGTGCTCAAGGGCGTATAAGCGACGGCGGCGTGTTTAATAAAAGTAGTTTATCTAAAAACATATCTGAAAAAAGTATCAATTTGCCGCATCCTAGTTTGTTGCCAGTTTTTTGAGTTTTATTTTCCCTATGTATTTCTGGGTGACGGAGCGTTTAGTTTAACCCTACGATGGTAACATAATTTAAATGAACACGCATGGTAACAGGGGTGTCACGTCACCCCATGATAATAAAATGAATAAAAAACTTTTATTTAACAATGAAAAATTAAACTTTTTATTTTTGAAACAAACTTAAAGAACACTTTTCTTTAGATCAATCTGTAACTAAAAGAAATTAGATTTATAAAAAATGTTTTATGGCAACTTAAACACAACTGAAACAAATTTCCACACGATGTTCAGGGCACGCAGGTCTTCTGCATTTTGAACAAAAAATCTTCACTTCTTTGTCATTTTTTCGAGGACACAATGCACATCGAGCTTGTTTTTGCAATTTGGCGGGGGGTTCACATGCTGGAACTTCTTCGGGGACATTTAGAATGGCTCTTATATTTCCCGATAGTTGTCGAGGTAAATTTGACTCCAGGCGTCGTCTCATGTGCGGCTCGGCTAGCTGCATTGCTAGTTTTTTTTAAGAAATTACTTCTAAACTTATTAGCTGGTGTGTTTGGATGCTTAGCTTCTAGATAGAGAATCATAGAGTTGATCCCTGCTTGATCTAACATACCGAAAAAAAACCTAAGCGGCCAGCGTCGAGTACCCCTCGCAGTCGTGTAATTGTGCATCATTTTGTCAAAGGTATCGACGCCTCCCTTTGTCGCATTGTAGTCATCAATTATAACTGGCTTATACGTTGTAGGATTGATCTCTTCCTTATTGTGCATAGTAGATAGCAATATCACCGATTTGTTTACCTTTGGAGTAAAGGAGACTAACGTTTTCTCGCGATCAAATGTAAACTGAGAGGACAAAGCAGATTGATTTATTCGGTAGGAAAGCAGGTGGTATCTCACGTTTATTTTTACGTAAAGTTCCAATACAAGTAAGTCGATATTCCTTCAGTAACTGGTCTGCAAGAGGCACCGAGGTGAACCAATTATCAAAGGTTATGTTTCGTCCAGAACCTTTGATGCTCTCAGCTAACTTTGTGACGTAGTCTGCTGCCGTCTTCGCCTCGGTTTCTTTTCCTATGTAAGGAATTGCGTCAAACATATAATATGTTTTAGCGTCACATATGGCCACAATTTTCATACCATATTTGTCCGGTTTCGAAGATATATAAACACGAAAGGGACATTTTCCTCGAAAACCAAACATTTGCTCATCAATCGTAACGTAACAGCGTGGTTGGTACGCTTTTGTGCAACTGTTTATAAAAATCTTCCATGCTTCTCGAATAGGTGCAAATTTATCCTCTTTATCACGGCTGTCCTTATCATCAAATCTTAGGCAAAGTAGCAGAAAATGAAACCGACTCTCGGACATTATTGACTTGTATACAGGGGTACTCGTGGGCGCCCACATTTCAGTTGCACTTTTTTTACTATCTTTGTTTACCGCGGCATAAAATAGTAGCCCTATGAGTGCCTCGATCTCTGTTTTGTCTGTTTTATGAGTAAAACGTTGGTCATTATATTTGGGAGCACGTCTACTAATTTCTTGGTTTGTGTATGTAAGTACTATGTCGAGAGGTTTAGAGAACAAAATCATAAAAGCTTCTTTTACTATTTCAATATTAGAACGGACTTGCGAAGACCTTTGGATGGTTACTATGTTACGCTGAGGTGTTCTGCTTGATGATGGGGCAGAAGTAGACCAAACATGTACATTCTTACCTTTCAAAACACTCCCTCGAAGCTATGACAAAGGCACATCATCTTCATCTGAGCCGGAAATAATGTCGTCTTGTTCGGAATGCACGGACACGTTATCTTCATTTTCAGAAGCCTCCTCCGCCTCTAATGGCTCTGTTTCACTATCATCATCCTCGACCATATTATTTAGGTACCGTTCAAGCTCTTCATCATTACGAAACGCCATAATGAACTGAAAATAACATATAAAAAATACAATAACAAAAGAAAATAACTACGTAAATAGTAACAGGGGTGACGCAACACCCCACTCATACTTGTGGAACGAAATCGACGTGTTGCCGCTCCCACCGCGCAACGGCTACTAATGACTCACGGTAAGACAAAAAAATACACAAAATACTAGAGCGAGAGAGCAAATAATTTTTAATAACTTGGCGCGTGATTGCTGGCGTGGGGTGTTGGGGCACCCCTGTTACCATCCTAGGGTTAAGTAAACATCTCATGAAACCGTTTCCTGGCCGTCACGCGTTAATTTCTGCTGAAAGGGTTTTTAATCAAAAACTCTCTCAGTCACGTGTTGTAGTTGAAAATACTTTCGGATTTACTAACAAATTTAGGGTCTTCAAGACGGCTATACCATTCCACCCAGTTAAATGTTCAATAATTACTATGACATGTGTTCTATTGCATAACTTTTTGCGAAAAAGTCGAACGTCTCGCAATTTATACACACCTCCAGGTACATTTGATACCTATAATGATAATAGAGACTTGATAAGCTCTGGTACTTGGAGAAATGATAGTATCAACGGTTTCCTTCACTTACAAAATCAACCACGTAGAACAATTAATGATGCTATTCAAATAAAACAAAATTTCATGAACTATTTGTATAATTATAGAGAATAAAAATACTAGCTAAATAAAAATTTATTTTGTTTTATTTACTACTTACTCCTTCTTCGGTGTTTATAACACTGTTGCATTGGTATACATCTTTTAAAAAACTTTCTATGACTTCGAAAAACGGCCATGACGGTGTATAGATTTCGTCAAGTCCAGTCCCAGATCTCATGAAATCTTTTTTCTTTTTTAAATGAGTACCGAAAGCCGCCATTAATGATTCTTTTTTTTTTAAATCATTTATAGGAATTCCCATAGCATCATGCGATTCCAGGCATCCGAAACCTGAAATCAATTAAAATTTTCAATTAGTTCAATAGATAGAAAAGAACCATTCACAGCTACATGAACACTTCCTAGTACCTAAATAACTATTTTTTAAAGAATAAGAGTGACAAACGAGCACACAGTCCACCTGATGATAAGTGGATGTTGTAGCCCATAGATATCTACATTTATCCTCAATTAAGAACCAAAACGCAGATGCGTTGTCACTCCTGAGGACTAAGATGGAATGCCTTGTTTCCAGTAAAAAAGGGCCTCCAGATCTCTACACTCGCCATACGAAACACAGCAGTATTAAGCTGCTATTCGCCGGTATTCTGTGAGAGCTTGGTCCTTCCCCGGTCGAGCCGATCTATTCGTGATACAACCGTAATATAGCTGCAGCGTGGCTCTACCAAGTATAAATAGTCTTTAAAATTGTACTTATATCATCTGTGTTGTATTTATAATTACTTAAAAATGACGATTTTATTCATAACCCTATTAAAAATATATATATATATATATATATATATATATATATATATATATTGTTACGTGATGACTAGATAGGGGGCGTGGCTAATGATTGCGTCACCGCGGTGGTGGGGTTTCGAGCCCAGAAAGCCGGTCGCCGTGGGAGGTGGCAGGGTCACTTTGGCTCGAACAGTCGGAGAGAGTGGTTGTGCTAGGAATTAGATATTACCTTAAATCATTAATTGCTGATCAACATTGTAAAAGTGTTATAAAAGATTTATATTACAAGTTTTGTTTTGAGTGCATTTTTATTAAGAATTAACGCCTAATCTGTAATAATATATATATATATATATATATATATATATATATATATGTATATATATATATGTATATATATATGTATATATATATATGTATATATATATATATATATATATGTATATATATATATATATATAAACCCTATTATATATATGTCTATAAAACTATATCTTACCTCATTTTTATCTTTATGTTTTTTACGTGTTGGATTCCATATCACGCTTTCTCCCCCGATATAATTCTAAAAATTTTATAATTTCGCTATGAGGCCACGTATTCGTAATTTTTATTTATTTTCGTTAATTTATAAACAAAGCGCGAACGTCCACACTCAACAGTCGAGCACGCACAACTGTGGGATGGGCCACGTGTAGATGCGTACCGCCATCGTTGGCCCACTGCCCTTTGATGTGCGGCGGAAAAACAGACACCGTCGCCAATCCTGAGACCATCGCATGCGCCATAAGCCATCCGACACAACTATGCCCTCCACACGTTGGCCTATCATAGTGGGCCATCGCGTTGGCCCAACGTGTAGAGAGGCTATTAGATGTTTTTCACAGTACCTAATTTTTTCATGTAACTAAACACTGAATAGACCATTTGTCGGGATTGTCTATTTAACCCGTAACATTCTTTCAGTCCACATTCTTTCAGTCAACATTCATACCCATTCATATCCTTCTTGAACCCACTACTGAGGACGAGGAGGAGACCGGAGACCCTTTTTACTGGAAACGAGGCATTCCATCTTAGTCCTCACAGGTCACGGGGGGATAGATGTAGATGTCTAAGGGCCAGTGCAAACACTTACCATCAGGTGGACTGTGTGCTCGTTTGTAACCCTGTCATTACAATCCGCGAATTTCACAAAACTCCGTAAATACCTTTACGGAGTTTCATGAAACGAAAGCACTATTCAGACATCCACCTCCTCACCTCATACGACGTCAGTGTTTTGCGGCGGTAGTGGTGCGTGCACCACACGCAACTACGTCGTATGAGGTTCGACCGGATGTTTCGCTGTCTCGCCACATCCCCCATTTCCGTGGGGATGGGTATGCGGCGAACGAAGTGGCGCTCTGTCAGCCTCTGCATTGGAAAGACAGGGTGTCTTTGCTGTAGAGCAGGACTTGGTGGGCGAGGAACCATGTTGAGATGGCGTTTCACGATGCTTTCAACCAACACGCCAACCGAAACGCTACGGGATCGATTTTGGTGTTGGTTGATTTCTCAACAACGACCCTTGCGTTTTGAATAGAAATATTCAAAAGGCGTTTGAAAATTTTCCGGTTCCATTTCAAACATTGTTTCCGCTCGACTAGATAGGCCACCAGCATCGAGTCAAGGCGGTCAACTCCCCCCATGGCCCGATTATAATCTTTTATCAAATCGAGCTTGTATTCTGCAGGGTGGCCCAGACTTCCGGTAATTAATTGTTGCGAGACGCCATGGTATGTTGAGATACAAGTCACTCGCTTGCGATCTTGTAGCGCAACAACCATGACGTCGGCGGACGCACGGGCATTCAACTGCCCTTCCTGTAAGGGTGCACGTTTGATAGCTTCTGTAACCCCTTTGCGAGTCGGCCGCAGGGTACCGACGCAGACTGTGTTGCGTCGTTTTAGCCAACGCGCCAGGGAGGGAGAATTGAACCAATTGTCCATGAACAGCGTGTGCCCCCGGTTGAGGACAGGTTGAATGAGCCTCAACACAGAGGACACGCTGGCCGGTACCATACTCCCTGTCGCATGGCCCGCATACACAAAAAACGACCAAAGGTATCCTGTGACCGACTCGCACAGTTCGAAGGTTTTTATACCAAACCGGGCTGCCTTGGTCTTTATGTATTGTTGAAAGCTAACTGGCCCTTTCCAAAGAGTTAGCGATTCATCAATACGTATTTCCCGGTTCAGCTGGTATAACTCCTGGAACTTGGCATTCAAGTGGTCGAGAATGGGACCCATTGGGTGAAGCGGATTATTAGGGTCAGTCGGGGGCGCATATGCTATGCACGACCCGATGGGTTTTTCTGGGCATTGGCAGGTTCTGTTGAAAAATGAACCCGTTTTAATATCTATAAGTTTCTATTTATCTATATGACTGATGTTACATATAAATGTTACTTACAGATATATCGATGTCATCGAAATCTTCTACTAGTTCCCCACTGTCTTCATCGATGACCATTTGGTCTGCCTCCTTCTCATCGAGAAGGACATCGATGAAGACCTGAGGAACTGGGTTGCTTCCGGGGTTTCACATGCTAAGAAAGAAAATAATAATTTTTACATACCATAGTACATAGTTATGCCTATCTTATTATATATATTCATATTATATTATGATATATAGGGATAAATATACATTCAGCAGAGATAATATATAGACAATAGGTCATATTATGTTATTATATCAGCAGAAATTGCTATATACGTATTGAATTTATCCAAATGAAAAAAAAGTGATAAATATTTCTGTATAATAAAAATACGTAAAATTTATCACTTTTTTTATAAATATCTCCATATCGATCGCCTTATCGATAAAATTCGCGCAATCCCTGCAAATATGCTAAAATATGGCGAGATATTTGAATTGTTATATAGGTATTGGACCGTTTTATGAACAATTGTATAGGTTATGATACAATTTTGATAGGAAAAATGAACGAAATCTTGAAGAATATGAAATTATCTCGTAATTTCATTAGGATTTTACCGTTTTCAATTAGATTTATCCGTAAATATAGACATTTACATTTACTATTTCGTCTGTACTTTTCTACATCATTTCGATTTCCAACTATTTTTAGCATTCACTTTTATGCCACAAATTATATATCTACGGCTTTGTTATATCACAAGGAATACAAAAAAGTATAATACTCAGGTTTTTATTCCAGACACAATGGTAAAATGGTGTAAAAATGACGGAGCACCTTCTGTATTGCGACACGTGGAACGCCGGAAGTTCAGAGTAATTTCTTTTTTTTTCTAAGAACATTGCCAGGTTATGGTTTAAAATAAAAGAGCATATATTTGTCTTTGACACTATTATTCATTGCATATTGTCTTTGGTTTTGTTTAAAACAAAAAAATATATTTTCATAGGTCAAAGGGGGATGCCCACTGTTCATAGACACTTCGGCCATGGGTGCCCACATATAAAAGCATATGGAAATGATAATATGCAATTAAAATAATGAAATGGTTAAAGAATTGGTTTAAAAAAAGTCGGGATTTTTATGATATAAAGCTTTTTATTTTCACAAATACAGTTTTTTAACGACTACTTTTACCAATTTTATTGCTTTTAATTTCTTTAACTTTTAATTCCCGACGCGTGATTTTTCTTTTGGAGGCCTATGCCAAAAGGCACACCGAACAGAGGGACTTACTTTAACTAGTATTACAATAGGAACTCAAACACAAATATTATGTAACCCCAAAGTTCGGAAATAAATGGTTATATTATTATTATACTATTATTATTAATTCCTGACGTTTCAGGTGCTTTATAACACCCATGGTCACGGGGTACTGAGGTGACTGCCATCCCAATGTCAGTATTGGGACATGGAGTACCTTCAGCTTTTTATTATTATTTTTATAGTCCAATCTACGCAGATTGAACTTACTCTATCTTTAAGTCTTGCAGTGGTATGCTTGGGGTTTGTTTTAATTTTATTAATTATAGTGTCCCAAGCAGGTGGTAGTACCCAACCGCCTTCTCTACTGAAATTAGGATGTTTTTTAATTTCAGTAGCCTCACATATCATCCTTGGTAGGAATTAATGTTCTTTAAAGAGGAATTGTGGTCTATCAAATCTGATCTATGTCTATCTGGTTGGGGTGACACCCTTGACATACGGTAGTACAGCAGGCACACGCTCAACTGCGGTCGGCTTCACTCGGTCACTGTGACGAAGACGTGGGACCCGAAGCTTGATTTTGTGCAGAACCTGCTTGACGTGCTGAAGCTCCGCGGCCAGGTGCTTGTTCTCACAGATCCCATATGCTCTCTGTAACAAAGATTTGCTCATGGTAACTAACTGTGAAGGATTATGGTGAGATTCACCGCTTAAATATCAGTTTGTATGGGTCTTTTTTCTATACACAGTGTGACCTATGATGTTGTTAGGATTTTGGATAACAAAAACATCTAGGAAAGCTAAGAAATTATTTGCCTCAGATATAATATCATAATTACTGAATAGAATTTGGCACAGAGAGTGGTAACGATGGATAAAATTCATAGGAACAACATCCTGATTTAATATTTCTTGGGCCATATTCATGAGCCGCTCTAATTTGTTTCTTGGTACTTGCAATAATGCCTATATGCATTCATCACTATCTCCTGTTCTTACTTTCATCAAATATTCAGCAAGTGCAAAGCATCCACTATGTTTACTTGACATTTTGGGCACTTCAGACAGAATTTATTGGCATTGTGCCTTTGATAAGCGTAGATAATAATGTACAGTATATTCGGGCATATTGTAAATATTTTCAAAGTAAATATTATCTTACAATAATGTAGAAAAATCTATAATTTGTGCTACACTAAATGTTTTAATATGGTTATATATTAATTCTAAAAGTAAATACCAAGAGTTACTATTTAAATGGTAGTTACTGATTCTACATTCTGGAGGTACATAGTAATTGTATTCACAAAAATACATACCCGCAATGCTGATGGAACAGTGAGTTGATTGGAATTGTTACAACCAGGAAAAAACATTGATTTTGTGTGAGTGGTGCTCTTACAAAATTAGGCAGCAGTATATTGTATGATGTATGATCTAAGCTTTGTTGTTCTAGGTTCAATACATTACTCACTTTAGATTGCTACAAGGATGGACTAGATGATTCAGATGGTTCCCGTTCTAAAGTTTAACGTGTTGCTGCTTTATCAATTCTTCGCAATCATGACACTCACGCGATGACGATGGCAACTGAAATAATATTAAATAAAAAAAATAAGACAAAGTGAACAAAATAAAATAGTTTGTTTACTTTAAACTCAAATATAGGTAAATGTTACTTAAAACTTAATGCCCTATATTATTTAATAATTAAGGACTGACTGCCTACCAGTAGTCCAAAAACAATTAAAAATCGACTGTCTTATTTCTTGGTATTTGATAAAAATTGTCCATTTCGTAACTATCTGGTGTTAGCTAGCTAATCTTATCGCCGTGTTACAAATAAGCTATTTTGTTTGTCAGGTATAGCTTGTGCATATGTTAAAAAAATAAAACAACTTCATCATTTCATACATTCATCACTATCAAATATCAGCACTAGAATTAATAAATTAAAAACTGTTGAACACTTACTTTTAACTGTTGTCACACTATAATGTGATCGACAATCTCACTCCATATGAGTTCTTGAGAATTTATTTGAAAAATAACAAACAAAATAACACAATGGCAACTATTTAGTTGTGAATTCACTAGTACCTTTTTACTTGTTGAATTGTGATTTCATTTCGCATGACATATTTCCTATAGCTGTCAGATTTGATGTTGCCACATAACTAACATAAATACAACGAAACGATATCGATTTGTATTCGATTAGTAATTTAATGAAAAAATAATAATATTTGAGTTTCGCTTTCAGTTCTACACGCTTTTTAAAATATATTTTCTTTTATTTTTTTAAATTATGTTTTAAACGTATTTTTAAGAACAGTTAAAATGTGGAGTAGCGTATTGTTATGCTCTAAACAGTTCATGGTAAATCAGCTAAAAATTCACTTGTTTAATTATCATAACATGATTCCATTTTAAATGTATTGTTAAAACAGATAACAATAACAGTTAAATTGTGCAGTAGCATTTTATTGTACTCTAAAGAATTCATAGTAAATCAGCTAGTAATTCGCTTGTTTAATTATCATAACATCATAATATCCATAGCGATTCGATTATTATTCGATTAATAATTTCATAAAAAGAGAATAATCTTGGAGGTGTTTTAACTTCTGCTCGCTTTTTAAAATGTATTTTCTTTTTTTATTTAAATTCTATTTTAAGTGTATTTTTAAGAACAGTTAATTGTGCAGTAGTGTTTTATGAAGCTCTAAAAAATTCATGGTATATCAGCTAGAAATTCACTTGTTTAATTATCGTAACATGATTTCATTTTAAATGTATTGTTAAGAAAAGATAAGAATAACAGTTATATTGTGCAGTAGCGTTATGTTATACTGCATAGAATTCATTGTAAATCAGCTATTAAATCGCTTATTTAATTATCATAACTACAGATGTGAAGGCGGTTGTTAACGTTTTCAACCAAGCCGATAACAACGGTTGTTTTTGTCTTGAAATTGATAAAAATTGTGCAGTTGCGTTTTGTTAAGCTTTAACCTTTTGAGCGCCACGCCAAAAACGCATTACCGTGTCCTGTACGCCAAAGCGCCAAAACAAAATAGTGTTGCCAAGAGTTGATATATCGATAACGTGAAATAACTTGTTTTTGTTGGTTTTTTATGCTATAAATGACTCTTAATAAACTGTATGTTTTATTTAATCTTGTGCCGTCTTCCACTCTTTTTATGTATGTACTTTGTACATATAAACATAAATAAAAAACAAACAATAACAATAAAATAGTAGTAAACATTAGCACTACTCTCCATCCTAATGACGACACTGTCGCGACTGGACGACAACGGCGTAGCTGACCTTTCCCTTTTGAAACATTCTTAGAATGTTGTGTATCGATTTCAAAATCGATCTAACCGAAATATACAGACATCGATTCATAATATTTTATGTGTCGGGGAAGGCGTAGGCCAAGTGACGCACAGAAGAAAAGTCTTACACTCTTATGACAATGGGGATTTGATATGATGCTGATGCTGCTAGATGATTTTGAGACTGAGAAAGAAAATGGCACAACACAAAATGAAAAATTGCTCTTCACACCCTAAGTAAAAAAAACATTAATTGTAATTTTGTATTATTATTAAAAAAAGGTACATAATTATTCATTAATCAACAATTGTATATAATTATTCGCACTAGGTAAATCAGCCTTATAATACTAAAATCTTGGTCATGGAATAAATAAACATATTTGTTCACCAATCAATCAAAAATTCAATTCATCAATCAAAAATCAAAATTCATCATCATCGACGCTTTCCAAAATCCGAATGAGTTCTGAGGAATCGTTCATGTTGCATTACTCTACTTTTCTCGGTAATCACTTATGACGTCATCAGGGTGTCGTCTATCCTTGATCACGGTGCCCAGTGAACTGATTTTCGATGACGCGCTAAAGATGCGCTAGAGTTGAGATATTAGATTTATTATGCGAAGATAATCTGATAACATTTTTTTATTCATGTAGCTAATTATAGTTTTATGTTTATAACCTTTAATTTTATTCAAATATCAATAATAATAGAAAAAAAAAACACCATTGAGCTGAATTTTGGATAGTTTTCAAGAAATCTATGCCTCCCGCGTTTGACACTAGCGGTCAACCATAGACGACTTTGGCGTGCTGGACATAGTATTTGCTTAGATAAAAATCCATTTTTATTAGTTCAATGTTTCTTAGTACTTGTGGCTCTAGAAGACTTGTTTTTTATACTCACATGTTGCTGGGTTATTCCTATTTTGAGGAGTGTAGAATTAAAATACCTGTAATAATTTTCCAATATCTATATTTCATATTTTTCGGAGCCGGGTTTTTTGTCAACTATAGACGTCGTTGGCGCTCAGGGCCCGCAGGTGTTGGTCAAATATAGGCGACTTTGGCGCTCAAAAGGTTAAAGGATTCATGGTAAATCAGCTGGAAACTAACTTGTTTCGTTATCATAACATGATTCTATTTTAAATGTGTTGTTATAAACAGATAAGAATAACTTAACCGATCTTCTTTAAAAACAGATAAGAATAACAGTTCTTATCTGTTTTCAAAGAAGATCGGTTAAGATTAACAGTTAAATTGTGCCGTAGCATTTGTTACTCTCTAAAGAATTCATTAGAAATCAGCTAGTAATTCGCTTGTTTAATTATCGTAACATCATAATTATTTAAAAATTATATTAGCACTGTAATGATGTCACCGTAAATAATCAATCGAAAAAAGAGAATCGATTTTTTAAATGTGTTTTGTGATTGGCAACACTTTTTTTTTTATTCACAAACTAATGACATAATGATTTACCTAATTTTTATTATTATGTTTCCGGTACTTTTAATTTGTGCAAAAATATTCCCATTGTTTGAGGATAAATGAATACCGCGATTAATAACCATAAATAAAGATATAATTTTTTAACAAATTCACATTGTTGGGCGTTCCATGGCCGAAAATGGGCGTCCCCATTTGATACCATCCTCAGCCAGCGGTCTATGATATCGAATAAAAGTATCTTATAGCGTAACGGGTTAACACCGAATTCTTCCTTTTCTGCATATTTAGACCAAAATCTGAACACTCAAATTATAACAACAAAAATAATTAAAAACAAGAAATAACAAAAACAATTAATAACAAGGAATACACAAACAACAATTAACAACTAGGTAACAAAAACAATTAACGAAAATAAACTAATTAAAAAAGTTATTACTAAAATTGCTCTCAAGTGTACGGAAGCCAAAAGATACGTTCGAAACCAATAGACGAGAATCGACTGATGAACCAATCACGTTGAGCGTCAGCGTGGTCAACGTCGTATCGACCAATAAAAAGTGTGCTCACGACTTATGTCGGCAATTATACTAATGTTTTGAATCACTTCAGTGATTTGGATCAGTGAGTCGGTTCCGTAAAGCAGGGGTTCCCAATTTTTTTTTGCCAAGGAACCCTAATTGATTATACTTTTCCTAGCGGAACCCTACGTTGATAAATGGAAATTTGCCTACCTTAAAAAAGGTATATTATGTATATGAAAAACAATTAAGTTTTTATGAAATTATTTTTATACATTTACTGTGAATATGTAGGTAGGTACATAAAGTACTATCGTACAAAAAATTTCATTCGTCACATTAAATTCATAAAAACACGTTTGTGAATTTAATGTGACGAATGAAATTTTTTTACATATTTTCTTAAAATAGCATTAAAATTAGGCTTAATGTCCGACAGTTGAACGCGAAGATCTGGAGCTGCATCCAGTCTATTTCTGTACTTGCTTTTGGTGTAAGCATATGCGGAAAAACCAGTCTCGCATCGGTAAGTCGTCACAAACGGTAACAGTAATGTGATGGCTCTATTAACAATTTCTGGGTATTCATCTTTGAGTCCAATCCAAAAGGCGTTTAAATCAAAAGTTCTTTCTTCATACTTTTGTTTTAGCGTTGATGAAAATTTGATGTCAATCAAATTCTCATACTCTGACACCGACAGCATCGAAGGTTTGGTGTGATTTAGAAACGGATTCTGCACCCAGTCCATGTCCTGCAACTGCTCCGGAAAATACTCATGCAAAGATTTTGTAAGGCTTGTCAAATGCTCATGTATATTCTTTTCCACGTCTGAAGATACCCGCAGCTCATTTTCTTTTAGAAAGTCATTTAATATTGTGAAACATTCGTAATTATGTTTTTCAACACATTCAATCCAGAACGCAAGCTTGTTTTTCAGTGAAGACATTTTATCATTTACTGTAAATTTTGTTGTAGCTCGTCCCTGTAATGCCTTGCAGATTACGTTGAGCTTATCGAATATATCAGCTAAATAAGCCAATTGCATCAACCATTGCTCATCATGCAGCAGTTCAACAAGCTTATTAACGTGTGCAGAAACTGGTTGTTTGGTAAAGAATATCTTAAGCTCGTCGTGCAATTCAAACAGCCTTAATAGAACTCTTCCTCTTGAAAGCCATCTTACTTCCGTGTGAAGAAGAAGTGATTGATGCTGACTTCCTATATCCTCACACACTTTTTTAAAAAGCCTCGACTGGAGTGGACGTGATTTAACGTAGTTTACAATTAGTACTGCTTGGTCGAGAACTGTCTTGAGCTCGTATGGCATTTTTTTTTGCGACAAGGGCATGGCGATGTAAAACGCAGTGACTGCTACTACATTTAGGTGCAACCTCCTTGATTCTTGTTACAGTGCCTTTTATTTTGCCAACCATAGCTGCCGCTCCATCACTACACACGTCAATACATTTGTTCCAATCAATATGGTGTTTAGTCATGTAACTATCGATAACTTTAAAATTTTCTTCTCCGGTTGTGTTGGTTTCTAAAGGAGTACAAAGAAACAAATCCTCTTCAATAGATCCTCCAAAGGGATATCTCACAAAAACAAGCAGTATTGATAACCCGACGACATCTGTACTTTCGTCCAGTTGCATTGCAAACATCTCGCTGGTCTTCAATCTACTAATTAATTCATCTTGAATATGGTCAGAAATCTTATGAATTCGATCAGAAATAACGTTATTTGAACACTGCACTGCTGACACTTTCTTTGCTGCTTCTTCTCCAAGTACACAAGTGACAATTTCTGTCATACATGGTTTTATTAAATCCTCTGCAATCGTGTGTGGTTTACCAGCACGAGCGATTTTGTAACTTAGCAGAAATGATGCCTCTGTTGCATTTTCATTATCGGTCTTTACAAATTTTTGTATAGCAGCTGCACCAGTTCTACGCACTTCTTTGTGTCTTTCAAGAAAGCTGACGCTTTTATCTTTCAGTTCTGGGTGGTTCGTGTCAAGATGTCTTTTAAGCTTTGCAGGTACCAGTAAGCTATTACTTATTATTTTGTTGCAAATCACACATTGTCAATCCGAGTTCTCAGTCATTCCCACAGGAACAAATCCAAAGGACAAGTAGGGTTCGTCGTATCTTCTCTTTTTTGAAGAAGTTTTCTCCTGGGTTGCAACTCTTTTGGTGATTGTATGTTGTATATTCTGTCCGGCACTAGGGTCTTGTGTATTTAGCAAACCCTGAAAAGAATTGACAAACAATGATAACAACCATAGCCATATGTACAATCGGCAATAAATAAAATTAGTAAATTTAGTAAATAACTTGTATCACAGTAAATTACCCAAATAATTGTAAAAAAAACTTATGCATAACTTTCTTACCGACGAACCAGGAACATTTTCTGAAATATTTTCAGTACACACTGCTGGTGGCTCTGAATCTAATGAAGAATCCGAAATACTTTTGCCACTTGTGAGGCGCCCCGTTTTGAGCCAACTTTCCATTTTGAACTACCTACAATAAAAATAACACGTGAATATATCTCTCGTATTTTATTTCGAAAATGTGTCTACAAATAAACAAAAACATTGTGACTTACCAGTAAAAAAATTCCAGATCAATAGGTACCCAACAACAGGTATTTTTTCACTGCAGCTATTCACTAATTCAATAATTGAAATACGTGTGCTCTAATCGCGATCTAGACCGGTATAATCCGCTCCGCCGCGCCTTCACTGCAACACTGGCGCGCGGGGCGTGGAGGGCTGTGCGCGCTGTCACAATTTAATAATCTGTGGCGCTGTACTACTTCGCCCGCACACCCTGCCCCTATCTCGTGTGTAAACAAGTCGGTGCGTGCGAGCGAACAACGTTGGTCACGAAACGTATGATAATATTTTTTACGGAACCCTTGCGGCCTTTCCACGGAACCCCAGGGTTCCGCGGACCACCTTTCGGGAACCGCTGCCGTAAAGAGTTACACACGCCTATAAGCGTACTCTCGCGTCGAGGTCGACACTAGTTACTGGGGACTGGGAGCTTGCGGGATGTGAAGCTGTGATTCCTCGGAGCTCGCGTGAGGATTATATTCTATATTGTATGAAACGCTGATTCTAGGGTTCATGTACAAAAAAGGATCGATATTTTTTCTATATATATATCGCAATGTTGTATCTATACTTTTTGTTATATCTTAATATTTTTTTCTAATTTAAAACAAAAGAGGAACAGTTTCAAATGAGTAAATAAGTAAAAACAGCCAGGGTTACAAACTAATCAGCTTTATATGCCCCAATATTTACTATCTAAACCTTGTACAAACAAAATTGTATTTATGCGTTTGGCTTGCAGTCTGCTTCTCTGCTGAGTTAACACCCGTGCAGCGTTTGAGAAAAGTCTTGCAGATGACACTAAGCTGGCCACCATAGTTAAATATTTGTATGCTATATTGCACAATTTCGGGAATTGCACTTTGTAATCTGTCCACACTTCTAATGGATTTTTGTTAAATCTACTAACTGGAGCCCTCAAATAAAGAGATAACTTATCTGAAAAACTTTCATCACTTTTATTCGTTGTCCAATTCCGCTGAATCAGTTTATGGTTGTCACTTTAGAGACGAAAGTCTAACTGACAAATTTAGTCGAAACCATCCAAGTTCGAACTGGCAGTAGAACATAACTCTTCTCCTAGCCGATCTTTTTTTATCAGATCTTTAATTTTACTTACGGCATTTGCGCAAGCTAACGGGTCTTCGAAATGTATTTTTTTTAACATCTCAAGGCCGGCGCTCGGCACGCGCCACTTTCCGTAAGAGCCGGCGCGTAACTCGTTACGGCTCACATTACGCGTCACTTGACACTTTTTTATTTTATTTATGAGGTGACAGTTAACTATTCTTAATGATATTTATATGTTTGAATAGCTAAAGAACTATACTATCAAATTAACATAAAATAATAGTAATTTTGTTGTTTGAATTGAATGTATGGACTTTTGTTCAGGTAGTTTTGAAAATTCACGAGTTCTTAGAGAATTTTCTTTACAGTAGCGAGTACGTACAGTATTAGAAGTTTATTTTTCTTTTTCTATAATCTACGTAAAATTTCCTAAACAAAATAGTATTTTTTATATATGTACTTCATATAAAATTATTTAGTTTTGTCGGATTGAAAAAGCGATTAATTTACGCCACGGAAACGTATCGGGTGGGCAGTCAAAATTATTAGAAACGGTCCTATGCATATAACTTTATCGGCTATAATTTTTTTCCACAGTATCAAAAATGTGTCACAAGTGTCACAAACACACAAAAAAAAAGAAATATCGTATCTCTAAAAATGTAATTGTAATTCCGCAATATCTAGATCCATTGCTCAAATTAGGTATATTGTGAAGTGTTTTCTTTGTTTAGCTCTATTGTATTTTATCTTCTATAAATAACAAAATGAAGTATACACATAGAAAGAAGAATAAATAGGCTTTCTAATGATATGCAAGTCAATATAGAGTACTCAATATAGAGGCTTACAAATATACAAAAAAAAGACCACTTTTTCAATTGTTTTTTTTTTGTAACACTTGTGACACTTATGTCGTTCGCCCACTGTTACGTACACGAGCTTATACAGCATGTTTCAAAACACTAAAGTTTTACATTTATTCTAGGTCTAACGTTGAAATGAAAAAAGAAACGTTATGCAAAAAAGTTTTTTTACTACAAAATCATTTATTTATTTATTCTAAGAGGGCGGCACTGAAAATTTCGGGAATCAAGGAAGTGACACAACATTACTATTTAAAAATGTATTTATTGCTTTTCGAAGTATTCTCCGCGACATTTGACACATTTTTCCATACGATGGAACCAATCATTGAAGCAACTATGCCATTCGGAAGTTTAGGTGTCTCCAAAATGGCCGTTTTGTAGGCGTCCACAGCTTCTTCAGGTGATGAAAATCTCTGTCAACGCAATTTATTCTTTATTTTAGGGAAAGTAATCAACAAATCATTAGGGCTTAGGTCGGGGCTGTACGGCGGATGGTCTAATAATTCTATGTTTTCTTGCTCTAAAAACTCTTTTGTTCTGTGTGCGGTGTGAGAACTCGCATTGTCGTGATGGAGGATGATGCGGCGGTTGCAGTTCTCTTTACGGAGTTCAGAAACGACCTGTGGCAAACAAATGCTAGCATACCATTCTGCATTAACCGTTCTTTGTCCCTCAAGAGGAATAATCATAACATGGCCGGTTTTGGAGACAAACGTGGCCACCATTTTTTTTGCAACACTCCGTGAACGAACAATTTTTGTTGGCTTTAACTCATTTTCGAACACCCAAACTCGTGACTGGTTTTTTTGTTTCGGGTTCGTACGCGTATATCCAGGATTCGTCACCTGATACGATGTTGTATACAGCATTTGAGGATCCTGTGTGGAATCTTTCGAGAGTTCTGACGCACCAAGTAACGCGAGCCGCTTTTTGGTCTTCACAGAGCGAATGCGGTATCCATCGGGAAAACAACTTTTTTATACCTAATTGTTCATGCAAAATTATTTGTATTTGACTCATGCCAATATCTAAAGTTGCCTGAATTTCGTGGTATATCACATGTCGATCTTCCTCAATAAGCTTACACACAGCATCAACGTTTTCTTGGGTGACTGCAGTTTTTGGACGACCTTGACGGGGATCATCACTGAGCTTGACACGTCCACGTTGCAATACAGCAAACCAGCGATAAATTGTGGATTTGGATGGGGCTTCATCACCAAATGCAGAAATCATCCGGTCAACACACTGTTTTTGTGTTAAACCACTTCGAAAGTCATAATAAATCATGGCTCTTGAATTTTCTCGAGTCAATTCCATTTTCTCAACGACTAAACAAGTTTGACAAAACCTTGTGACAAGATCGAGAATCTTTTTTTAAATAAATAAATTGTATTCGATTTTTAAAACCAAGGAGTTTTCAATTAAAAAGATTTTAATATGACAGGAACAGTGGAAATATTCCATTCCCGATACTTTTAGTGCAGCCTAGGTAAAGTTTAATAAAATGTTACATCTTAGTTTCGATGTTATTATTATTAGACTTATGATTACCTAGTGTATTATAGCTACACACAACTCAATAGCAAAAACAATTTTGTAAAACCAACGAAACTATTGCTGTGACTATCGATATTTTGATGTAAATGAAATTCACGTGAAATATATAAATAAATGCGACTTACTTTAGTGAAACTAGTGATGTGCCTGTGACACTATCTATAATTAACAATTAAAAATTAATAAATTGATACTTTAAATAAATATCAATAAATATCACTTTGATGGCCTTATATAATTACATCCAAAGCGGAACTAGTGCTGTGACACTATCGATAATATCGATACTTTAATGTCAGTATTATGGAATTTTTCATGAAAAATATAAATAAATGTCACTTTTATGACCTTACATCAAATGCGAAATTAGTGCTTGAACAATTTTGTCAAACAAACACTTTAACTGTGTGTTACCTTTTCACGCTAAAAATACTGAACTGATTTTGATGAAATTCGGTATGGGGGTGATACGTAACTCTGCCTGTCTGTTGCTAAGCCTATTTAGATTAAATTTGGTATGGAAAGGAAGTAACTCTTTCTAATTAAGTAACTATCCCATAATTAAACACAGCAACGCCGTGTTATGTGCAAAAAAGGAGGCAAAGGGGTACCAGTCTTCAAAAAATGACTTTCCAAAACAAAGCCAATGATGTCATATAGCTATTTACCATGTGAAATCCCTAGCTTTGTTTTTGTCTGTCTGTTGCTGAACCGATTTAGTTGAAAATTGGTAAAAGACTGTGTAACTCTGCCTGTTTGTTTATAATACTGCTGAACCAATTTAGATGGAATTTGAAACGGGGAGAACATGTACACTTTATAGGTCTGTCTGTCTGTTGCTGAGCCGATTTAGATAAGATTTGGTGGAAGAGTTACTTTCTGGTTTTGAGTTATTTCATTACATCCTGGACATAACAAAAAATATGTCACTAATATAGAATCCAACATAAATAGTGTAAAAAAAATTAAGGGCAGATTCAGACTGTGATACTAAACAATTTTCCCAAAGAAACATGCGGCAAAATCTACAAAAAAAATTTGGACCTTGATTTTGTATGAGAGGTCCAAAATTTTTTTCATATTTCGACCCATGTTTCTTTGGAAAAATTGTTTAGTATCGCTACCTGAATCTGCCGTTATTTTTTTTACACTATTATTGTAGGACCTAAACTACAAAAACTATCGATGCACGATTTATCAATACTGTGACAGCACTATAGATCGTTTTTTTAAATGTGATAAAACTATATCGATACAAAGGTATCGGTATCAATACTCTGACAACACTATTATTCAAAACCATTGAATAAGCTAGAATTTTTTGACATTTTGTATGAAAAATATATTGATACTATTGTATACGCCACTATATTATTGATACCGATCCGAATATCG